GATGGACGCGGCATTACAAAAGACAACAAAAAACTCTCCAGCCGAGGACGAAGCACAACAGGAACTACGAGGAACGCGTACCCAATTGTCGATTACTGATTCTATGGACACTGTTAAGATCCCACAGAGGTTTGCTTGTGCCAACGAACAAGGCAAATGACATTTCGGGAATTGAAGTAGGGCTATGCGCTTGGCTTTTCCCTGAGTTTCAAAACGCTGCGCCGTTTTTCTAAGGCTTCCAGACTTCTGGTGCTTTATCCCTGGGGTGAGGCTTCCATATGAGAGGGGCGGGAATACCGCGACTTTGATCGGTACAGGTTATTATTAAGTTTTGCTTCCTTAGTAACTAAAAGGTAAGATTGGGTTAACGGCCCACTTTGTATATAATATAGCTACTTCTCGCCTGTGCCTCCAAAGCCTTTGCTTGCCTTGTAGTAGGAAAATTTTACGGTATTTCGACTGTTTTCATTAGCTTCTGGGCTTCTTCAGCGGATGAAACAGAGTATAGATTATCCCCCCGGAAGGGGGGTTGTTACTCCCTGTAAGGTCCTATACGGGGAAGCTCCGCCCGAAAGGGGTACCTTTTTTCAGGCTTCTGGTATATGAAAGACTAGGAATTTTATTCGTTGAAGTATTTAAAAGGGCAGGGAAATCTGTCATTTGGGTCTGTGAAACGGCCCAACGGGCCGAACAGGTAGATTTTATGACTTTATAGGACACGCGTGCAAAACGTCTGCGCATGCGCATGGTCTCTATTTTCAATAATTAAAATTTGCAAAATCTTCCTCATTTAAATTGAAAAACACTTAAGAATGTTTGATATGTTTAGTGGTTTGCAGCCGGTTCTAGTATTAAGCACAACAAAAAATTACTTAAACTAACTTAACTAACTGGTAAAGTCGTCCAGTACAAGGTTTTTCCGTCCTTGTTTTTCCACTTAGCATGCATTGGTCGTTTTCGTTGTTCGCATTGACCGAGCTCAGCGACATGATGACCAAAACAGCAACAATGGCTACGGCGAAGTGCTGCCAGAGCGAGCGTGGACTTTCAAACATGATTTTCGCCTTAGGTGCAAGGAGGAAAGTATGTGGTGCAAAAGAGAGAAACTAAAGCAATTAATAAACTTTGTGTTCGTGAAATTCATTCTAAGCTTATCTTTTGTGTGTGGAGCTTTCTTTTTTGAATTTCGCGGCCGGAATCTAGTTTGTTTTGGTATCGCGTATAATTTCGATGGGGGAAGGCACGGATGCGCACTGCGTTTTTAACGCGTGTCACTTTATAGAGTCGGGCAAACGTTCTATTTTTGGATTGATTCCTATTTAAATGACAATGCATTGGATGCAATGTTCTAAACGAGGTATATAAAAGGGGTACTATTTGTCAACAGAAGTTATAGGAAAGGGGTACCTTTTTCGTGAAAAATGATATATAAAAGGGTAAGGGTTGGATCTCGGGCGGAGCCTCCCCGTATAAAAATTTGTTAACTACCCACCCACCCTTCCCCCCGGGAAATTATCACACAGCTTAGTACAAGTTTGGTTTTCCCTTATTTAATACTGGCATACTTAGCTTTCTTTTTCTGTCTTTCCTTTTCCACTAGTTTTTCTTTTGTGAATGTTTCGTGTAGCTGTGAGTGGTGTGTGGTCCCCGACCCTTTTTGAATTGATGACCTTAGTAAGGCTGACCTATCTTTTTAGCCCTCAATGGTTATTACGGGCACCCTATACTCTCTCCATTTTTGTATCATGTAAATCAATGTAGGGTACTGAAATAAAGTTGTTGTTGTTGTTGCAAGCATTCACTATTATTCGACAGAGACAGACATTACCGTATGGATAATTTTCTATTATTCCCGCCAATATTTTGAAAAAGTTGTCAGATGGGGCAGCGGTGGGACATTCCATCCGGGGCCATTCAAGGGATGTTACTCAGTAACTTCCACTGAAAGGACTTTCTCCATTCGCTAAGAGGCTTGATCGAGGCAAAACATGAAAACATCTTTTCCAAACGGATGCAGTAGCATCTTCTTGGTTGAATCAATCGAGGGGTGATCCAAAAAGCAAGACAAGACCTCGAAACAAACCGTCAGATCATCAGACGAATCAGAGTGGACGATCGAAGCAAAAGTATACATGAGTCGCAGGTAAATATACACCACGAGGCGAGGGTGACGTCATACGTTTACGAAATCCGGCCGAAGATAAGAGGGCCTTTCGACGGATGTTAACGAGTGCTGACCATTTTTGTCTTGGAAAAGAACAATAAGGGCCGAAGGACTTATAAACTGATGATAACTGATCAAAATCTTCCCAGGTCATATTCCCATTATGTCGTCCGTGTGGACGACATTTTTTTCACGCTGCGGCACCTTACGCCTACGTTTTCTCGATCAGTTTCTTCAATTTTAGTCCAATATTTGCCTTCAAACTTCGCCGCAACTGGCATCTGTGACTGACAAAAATTGGTCGTGGTCTTGACAAAAGCTCATCAGAGGAGTCCTCAATCAACGAAGTGTGTCAATTTCCTCTGGTTTTAGTGGGAATATCACTGTAATGCATACAACTTTTTTTAAAGGAGAAAGGTCTCAAATGTAAAAACAGGTAACTGGTTACTGTTAATAGAGATTTCTCATTCAGAGAAACACACATTGACCCATGTTTTCACAAGGATGAGAATTTACAACCCTGAACATTACCCAGAAATTTTGAAACAAACATTCCGATGAGCTGCAAAAGCTACTTTCACTTTTTAAGTCAGTCGAGAATTGGTCAATGCATTAGCAGCAAATGATTTTGAATGTGACCACAGTTAACCTAAAGCGCTTAACTTTTTGCTTCCTACTGGTATCATGAAACCAACCTAAATATTTAAGAGTTTGAGGCCTGTACAGTCCCAATTATGGTGGTAATTGCTGTTGTAGGCAAAACCATCATCGGCGGGACCTGATTCGGCGACGTTCGAAATTGCCCTGAAGCATCACAACTTTTGAGCATTTGGGAAAGTTCCATGGGTTTCAGTGGTATTTTCCCTTTTCCCGTCTTTTCAGAGTCGACGAAAGCGTTGAATTTGCTTTCCAAAATTCGTTTTTCCACTAAAAGCAGTTTCTCCGGAGATGGAAAGCAGCCGTCCTGGCCGTTGCGCATTTCAAACTCTACTGCTGCATCTCTCAAGATGTAAACCTACTAGGAGGCTTTTGAGACAGATTTCGCTGCATTCACTCATTTTCTCGTTAGAGCCACAACTGTAGTTAAGAAAATACAACAACCGCGACCTTTGTATAAAAGGAGGCGTGACTGTCAACCGGTAATCCGCGCTCGCTCATTGGCTAACATATAAAAACGTTTGTTGGGGATAACGATAAGGTGCGTCGCAATGTAACAATTCGCCGTCCGTTTACCACATATAGCTGATTCAAGAAAGGTTGCTTTGGGCATTGGGAATTGGAAATTGGGGTATTGGGCATACCAAACCTCGCAATGATTTGCCTGAGTGACCACCATGGCGTCCTATTTCCCAATTCACAATGCCCAAAGCAACCTTTATTTAACCAGCTATAAATCACAATTGGTGTTGTCAATGTTCTTTGCCTGTTTAACTTTTATTGTACGAAAACTGATCTTCAGCTGGCCACAAAAAAATCATCTACTTCATGCTACTGGGCGAAAATGTAAGCCTTTCTAGTACCCGCTAGAATCTGCCAAAACTGTGGGCATAAAGCACTTGGAACAAAGCAGTACTTAGTAGGGGATGTAAGAGTAAAATGTTCAGTCCAACTAAGTTCATTGAATAAATTCATGAGTCGAGTGATTCGAGTGCCTCCAAAAGCTCATCAACGTCTTCATGAGCTACAATTGAACTTTATTGATCAATCATTTCATTCAATGGCTTTTTACTTAGCCTCGCTTTGAAACAGAGGCTTGGGTAGCTCGAAAATGGCCTGTCGCAGATTTGCAATTTGTCTGTTGTGAAAAAGAAAAAATAATGTTCGTTATAGTAATACAAACAGCCACAACCGAATGCAGTAAAAATGTATACTGCACGGCACACTGTATTATCGATTGTCGCCCATGGACGTGCGTAACATTCAATGAAAGGACTAGACAAATTTCGTACGTGTTCGCTGCCAAACCGCACAGTAACTACAAATTCCTTTGGTGTCTAAAAGTTTCTTACGGACATTATTTACAGTAATGACTTCTGCTGTCGTACTGGATTTACATTTTTTCTTAACACAAATATGTCACTACACTGTGGTATTGTTTCTGATGTTTTTGCATCAGCTTCATCCGAAGGATTGTCTATATTTCGCACACTTTCATTGACCACTGGACCTTTATGCTGCGGGCTAGGCGGTGATGATCCCAGACAGAGATGCGCTCGCCTGGAATTGCAATCCATATAGTAGACGTCTCAGCACTTCATACAAAGGGAAACACCACTAGGAACCCAGCTGGTGTGTTACCGAGAATGTACAGAACCATTAAGACAAGGTTTCACTGGAATTGTTCTGTGCGGTTCCAGTCCATGTTGTGGCGATCTCAGCAGCAGTTCATGAGTTACTAGGGTGTATTCGTCAAAGGGTGCTAGGTCATGGCTGAATCCATGCGCTTTAGAAATGGGAGTTCCCGCTTAACTGGACCACCTGCAGAGAAATGAAGGGACGAATTAGGGTCGCCCCAAGTGACATAGTAGCCTGCTTACAGGCTGTGTTCTTGGGGCGAGAACGGAACTGAAGGGAGCGAGTGGCGGACCGGCGAGATGAACTAGTCTAAAATCACGACTTGTTTCACGATGTTACTCGGGAGCAACTAATTTAAGTATGTTTCTCGTCTCTCAGTGCAATAGACCTCCTTAGCTTGTATGTTTTGTTTTCCCAATACAGGTCATGTGATAATACTCTAGGGAACCCTTTTTTGTTTCAAATTTCGTCTCATTCAGGTGCATATCTACGCATAATTTATGAAAAGACAATGGGCCAAGTTCCCTTGGGACCTCTTTTGGGAAAACAGAACATACAAGCTAAAGAGGTTTATATCCCTTTGTTGTGTAGATATTTGTGGCTCTCATGCAATATTCCACTGAATACCAAAAGAATAGTGCATTGCTGGATTTATTTTTAGTAACATACGTTTTGTTTATTACGTTTCGATTTGCCAACAAAACTTCATAAATGTGTTATAGTAGAGACTGGAATATAAACAACAACAACGGGACTTGGGTGGGTGCATTTGGTAATAGCCGATTACCCGTGAGTAAATTTTGTTGGACTCAATTTTGTTTGGAAGGATGACTATTATTCCTTTAAAATATTTCGCTAATTTTTCATAACCTACCGTTGTTGACCAAATGTGGGAGATGCAAGCAATATACCATCGATTCGGTGGTTTGATTGCTTGAAAACGATGTTGATCGATTGCTTACTTGCCTGGAAACGAGGCTGCTAAGACAATAGATTATCGATCAACCTCGTTTCCTGGCGCCGCCGCCTTGCTGTTTATTCACGAGTGAAGTAAGTTTTTAAACTGTATGTCCCGCTTACCAGAAAAAAAGAAACGTTCTATTAGATAACTTATTAGCATGGATAAGAGTGAACAAAATGTCACCAAATGAAATATTCATGTTTTTAAATAATCAACCAACGAGAAGCCTTAAACCCAAAAATTAATAGCAAGGCATGTATGTATTGGAATGCTTCAAATTAAGAAAAGGGAAGAAAAACAAAATGTAGATCAAAATATGTGTTTGTGTGTACTACATAACAAATTATTACAAATAGAGGTAGTGTAATAAATAGCTGCCATTTATTGTAATTTTAAGTCATTTATTGTCTATTCTAAAAAAAAAATGGCGTTCGCGGCTATCCAAAGAAGAAATAGCTCATTTCTCACTGAAACTGAACGAAAGAAATGCAAGAATTCGCAAATGTATTACTCGACTTTTGAGGAGCTGAAAGAAAAACACTTCTGTTGATACCCTGAAATCGTGCCGTGAAAATTGCCAAGGTTTGAAGGAGGTTTACCCTCGTAGACCTCCTTCACGCTTTTTAAGAACTTAGAAATATTTTGAATAGAATAATAAAACAATTATTGAATTCAGCTTTCGTATGATTATGATGATCTCGGAGGTTGTTATCGCGTTCTATTGGACCTCCATAATTATACGAAAGCCGAATCCAATAATTGCCAATGATATTGAAACATGTTTATCATTTTGATAAATAGTTACCATTAAAGCAAAAAATTTCATTCAAACAAAGGATTGTTAGCCTTTTCTCCACTCGCATTAGTCTCATGGCTCTTGAACAAACTTTCTATAATCCACCGGGTCGCATAGAGTATATAAAGTTACGATCCTGGCCAAAAGGTTTTGGGACTCTTCCTTTTTCTTTCCTTTTTTTGGTAGGGAATTTGCGAGTAAGGGAAAATTCACAGTTACAAACATGCCTTTGCCAGGGTTTACTGCCCTTCCCCGAAGAGATCAAAGTTGAAAGGTATACACTTTCCAAGATGTTTTTGAAAGTGTTTGACCTCTACCACCGAAGACTGTCTAGGGGGAGGGGGGTTATTTGAAAATGCATTGATTATGTAGAAAAAAACAAGGGCGCGCTTACCATTTTTGAGAACTAGCTGGCTAGACTAGTCCAGTAGTCAAGAGTATTAGACTATTGACAAGGACACTCCAGTCAGATCAGTTTATTTCTAGATGGTATGCACGGAAGTGATGGGTTAAAAAAATGACGAAAAGACTAATAGGGAAGCCTCTACTGCTATAGAAATTGGAAACCTATCGATGAGAGAAAATTTGGTTATGACGTCAGGGTACGTAAAGACTGGCAGGGGGGAAATAAGGAACTGTTTACATGGAGGTGGGGGACCCCAGGTAGGTGAGAAAATCTGTTTAGGTGGGGTATCCCACCTGTCCATGTAATCTCTCATATGGTCACCCCACCTATCAAAGATTATGTGGACAAGTTAGTTACCCCACCTAAGCGGGTTACCTCACTTACCTGGAGTTCCCCACCGCCACGTAAGCAGGCCCTAGGTTGACACGAATTCCTCCACTCCTCCCCCTAAAAAGTTTTTTTGTCCACCATTGTTTCAACAGGCTTTAGAAATGATCGACCAGTCAGAATCTGTCGACTGAGTTTAGATGGTAGTAGAAGAAAAGGATTTGACACCTGAGTGACAGGACTTCTATTTTCAACAAAATGGCTGCCGCGCGTTGACCATGTGGTGGTTTTCAAGACCAAAGTTTGCATTTCACGGTTGAAAATACACACGGAAAGGGAAATTTCAAAGAATGCTCAGTTTCCTTTTTGTGAACAAACGAAAGCTTTTCGTTACGAAATTGTCCAAGGAATTCGACCCTGTTTTCTTCAGTCACGGCGGAGCGATTGGCCTGTTTTGATAAAATGCAACCTAGGCAGCGAAGTTTTTGAAGAATTTTCAGGTACATTTTATACAATATGGTCAAGAAAAGTACGCTTTTAAAAGAAAATGTTTGTATTTATAAAGGTTTCATAGACGTTTCCTACATTTTGACATCTCGTGACCAAAATACGCCCCGACTTGAGATGGATTTTGTGTTGAATTTTGCCATATGCTAAGCCCATTTTACTTGCATGAACGGAACCACGATCCAGTTAATGTCACGTGAATAGCTTTTAAGGATTAAATCACGAGTTTTCGAATAAAACTTTTCGCGAAAATAATTTCTCTGTCTATTGCTTAGTTTGTTCATTCATAAAATTCGCGGAAAAACACGATCGTCAGACTTCAAGATAATTTGTGACGCCTATTTGAACTCTTAAGGCCCCCTCCACACGTATCTGTTTTGTTTGAAAACGAATAATTTCCCCGGTTTAGCGTGACCTCCACACGTATTCGGTGAAAACGGTCACCGAAAACGCATCTTTTCAAAACGCTCTTCAGGATGGAAATTTTTGAAAACGCGGACTTCTTGTTTACGTGTGGACAGACGAATATACAATGATAACGTACACATACTTCTAGCAAGCTCCGTAAGGGATGCTAATCGTTTTGCGTTTTTGTGTGGACGGGCGAAAGTGATTTGAATACGCTACGTGGAAAAAAATCCCCGTTTTCAAAACTTCCGGAAACGTGAGAACGGGGCCTAGGTTTTACAGAGAGACACTAAAATATGGTTTTTTGAAACGCTAAAAAAGCCGGCGCTTTTCGCTACTAGTGGGCTATGTGGGCTATAACATGTAGCCTAGTAGTAGCTCATCCAATCAGAACGCAGCATTGATAATAGACCTGTAGTTGGATTTTTTTGATGTGAGATGAAAATATAAAGGCTAGCTTACATAAGAAAACACAAAAGTCAGCCTTATTTTTCAGTTAGGTCTTACCTTGAGACAGAAATATTGCCGAAAAATCGTAGCCTGTAAATTAGCAATTAATGAATTCGGCTTTCGTAGGATATGAAGAATTAAGCGGATCTCAGCCTCGGTGGATAACACCCGAGATCCGCTTAATTCTTCATATCCTACGAAAGCCGAATTCATTAATTGGTTTATTATTTATCAAAATATTTTCAAACACTTAAAGGAGAAAATGAGCTTTATTTTCACAAATTTCACACCCTCCAGCTATATACTGAGAGCTAAAGTTATTTTCACTCCGTAAATTTTGGTGAAATGTATAAATAAAATCTCTCCGTGAGAAATTTAACAGACATCGAGGTAAAAAAAAATCAAACCTGTTTACGATAATTTAATGCGGTGTTTACAGAAATGTTACTGTGCGGTTGTAAATAAATAAACTGCTTTGTGGTTTGGTTGCAGTGGTTGTGAGTTTGAACGTTTAGGTCTCTTAAAATGAATTTTTCTGGGGAATTTGTTAGCAGTCCAAGTTCCACATTTCCATCATTTTCGCCTGCTTCAGAAGCCACGACATGGTTTTTGCTGTTGTCAATTACAGCCATAAGGCTGCGCGCCTGGTTTGTTTTTGTGTTTGCATCGGTTTTGCTGTAGGTTTTTACGCTGCTTTCGTTTCTGTGTCCGCTCACCATGATGTGTCGCGCTTCAAATCTACTTCTGTCGATTATAGTTATGGTCGTCGCTCTGATTGAATGATTTGTGTATATTGTTGACAACTCCGCTAGGTGTAAGATGACGGAGTGTGTTCTCGCCGAAAACCATGTTGTCATGCCAAATTTCTCCTTCACCAGATGACTTTGGTCGCTAAAAAGGTATTCATTCAGTGGATTCAAGACACTCACACATTTTTCAAAGGATCAGACCGACAAAAAGGACCATCGTTTGCTATCATCATTCCTCCTTCTTCAGCTTGAACGTCGTGTGCTCTGTGATTTTTTGTTAGTTCATCAGTTGTTTTCACAACACAGCGTTTTGTTCCTTGCGAGTTGACATTTATTTCGAAGTCAGTCTTTTTAAGCTGCCGAAAATTTTGCCGACCACGCCGAAAGAAAAATAACATTATTTCAAAGAAAACCTTGTTTTGTAGAGTGGTAGGGTTTTCAGTATTGAAGACACCTCATCGATACAATTTATTTATGTCTTCGTCAGCAATTGGAGGTTTGTGTTCAGTTTTCGCTAGTCCCTATATCTTCAGCTGTACGCACTGTGCTTCATAAATTCGGTTGGCTTCGTTAGATTCTGTATCCTTTATAATGTCTATATTTAGTTCTTGCTTGAAGTGTCTACACAAAGCAAATCTGATGAAGCAAAGGGAGTTCTTTGATCACATCTGTCCATCTTTCTTTCTCGCCTCGGCATAAAACTTTCCTAAAACTGCCGCTAAGCAATGGTGTTTCGTCAACTCTTTGGTATTCTCACTGTCTTTATCATTAAGTAACTGGGTAATATTTTCTTCGCTCAAACTTGTAAACCTACTCGCATCCATTTTTGATGTTTGTCTGCCAAAAATAACACAAGCTCGTCCCAGGTCTTCAAGGTTAACGGTGCCTTAACCTGTGAGAACGCTGCATTTTTGACGTCATTTCCTCGTTAAACACAAAATTATTCTAAATTTGGTCATCAGTAACTGGTTATGGTGGATTAAGCGTGTGCTTTTAGCCAATCAGAATCGGGAAAATATTTGGAATGAATAATTATGCTTATTATAAGTTTATGAACGGGACTTCCCTTCTATCCCTGGCTAAATCTAAATATTATTTTTATTGTCAAAGTGGCGGGTCTGGCCGGCCAATTTTGACTTTTGGAAAGCGCCTAAGTGTGCCAACGTTTTCACCTGGTTTGTTCTTGCTGTTAATGCGTAACCATTTTAATCAACCTTATAACATTCAGTGTACCTTTAGTCATTCGCTCTGATTAATACTATTCTGTTTTGATTTTCTTTTGTAGAGGTTCTTCGTCACCTACAGAAAGCAATGAGACGAAGAACATAAGGATTCAGTTCAACAAACAGATGTCATTAGAGTGATTTTACTTGATCCGTGAAGCAGAGAATAACAACTAGTGCAATACAGCTACTGGCAAGCAAAAGAAGGCAATAGAGTTAGTGCATAATAGCGCATACTATTCTACTTCCTATTTCACGGGTCAAGTAAAATCACACGCGTCCAGTCAACGTAACTGAGCAAACTGAACAAATCATTTTTCTTTGATATCAAGTATCAAGAAACAAAGAAAAGCCATGTAATTTTATGAACTTTGGTTTATAGAAATTTAATCATTAGCATACCTTCAGTCACCTGATGCGCTTTACACTTTTTTGCTTTCATTTCTCTCTGTGGAGATTCTTTGTTGCCTAGATTGAAAAAAAAAAAACGATTGGAAGGATTTAATTGTTTGTCCTCGACTTAATGGTGTTGAGGCTTCCACTCAATCAGAGGTTGGTAAGCCTGTGCTTCCACTCTTTTATTAACTGACAGAGAAAAAATAAAGAAAAGTTTTGTTTAAACGATTAATTTAAAGAAACCTATTGACTCAACTTACCGTGAGTCACCTGATGCCCTTTATGCTGCTGTCTTTTCTCTCTCTTCCGGGGTGATTTCTGTCCGCCTACATTGCCCAAAAAGACAAATGAAAGTCTTTAATTTAATTTACATAACACTTGGTTATAAACCTAAACAGAGGTTGGTAAGCCTGTTCTGCAGCCACCCATACTGGCCAGCTGTCAGGTCTTACAACAGATCTGTTTATTTACTGCTTAACCATGTTGGTAGTGAAATAAGTCCTCACCGTAGAACCTCGAAAGTAACGGCAGTAGAGGTAGCAGTCCAATGGCGTCGTTTTTTTAGCATGTAAGAAGTCGTTCGCGACGTAGCAACTTGTTGAAGTCCCCGAAAGAAATAATTCTTTTTCGGGACGTAAACGAGCCAATAACCGCGAATGTCAGCGGTGCGAACGACTTTGTACATACTTAAACTACGCCGGAAAGAAACTTTTAGCATGGTAACCGAGGGAAACGCTACTCTGGTATGTACGTAGGGACCGTTACTGTTGGGATTTCAGCAGAAAGTTTTCGTGTGTTTGTTTCTAAAAAGGGCACTTCCGCGTTAACCTTTTGCCTTTTTCTCAGGAAGAAGGTTAGTGTGACGTCTTTCATGTAAAAATCGATTTTCACTTTCAGGCAAATAAATCTCATTTTTATATGAAAGAAAGGTTTGTCATTGAGACATTAGGCACACTTTGGGAAAGTTTTCATTTTTGCCGGCTAAAAAACCACGAAAATGCGAAACCCTGTGTTGTTGGAACTAAGAAATGGCCCAATCAATGGTATAAACTTTTGGTTTATCCATGAACCTAACGGCCCTCAGCGCTTCACGCGTTTCCCTTGATTGTCTCTTCCACTTAGATTCTTTGTCGCCTTCATGTACAAAAGGACAACCGTAAAAAATTAATTGGATGTTCACAAATTGCTAGCAATTATGTTTCTGTTTATGATTCCTTAAGACTTTACTAAAATAAAGTTATAGACTTCCACTAAATCAGGGGTTAGCCTTCGATGCACTGGTGATCTTTTGACAAATCTTTTTGAAATGATTAATACCAGGTTTCATGAACGAAAATAAAAGGGACATTTAGGCTCTCAGACAATAACGACAACGAGAAGAGATTTTCTCAATACTAAGTGGTGAACGCGCATGAGCCGGCGTCATTTTGGCGGGAAAACGGGTAGCCATCGAAATTCTACTACGGGTTTTAGCGAGAATGGTATAGTGGCGGGAACAAGACATCAAGTGTTAGAAGTTCTATTATTTTAGGATCGGAAGAGGGCTTAACCTACCTCACTAAAAGTAATAGTGCCAACTTTTCCGGTGGAAAAAAGAAAAATTAAGCTTTCCGGGGTAGCTATTTTTTGACAATACGCGCTAAAACATTGAATCAAATTTCGTCCTCGTAGGCGTCCCCGTCCTTGAATGTAAAGGTCTCAAAAGAAAGGTTCTGTTACAAACTATTGATTTCAATTTATGTCAAGACTTTCAGCGTACCTTCATCTCTTCGATGTGTTTTGCGCTTTTTTCGTTTATGTTTCTTTGGCGAAGCTCCCTCAACACCTAATGAAAAAGCAACGGATATAAGGAATGATTCATTGCGTTTATCATTAATCTCCACTGTCCATAAATCTTTGGAAAAAAATTAATACTTCCTCGATTTAATCGAGTCACACAGAACAAAAATATCCTTGAGGCGACGTTTGCCATAGATGTATGGATTAAAATAATCGTAATGACTTTTAGCGCACCTTCAGTCATCCGATATGTTTTATGTTTTTTTCTTTTCTTTCCTTTTCGCGGAGGGTCTGCATCACCTGGATATGAAATAAAAGGCAGGCACGTTAATCGCTTTTTATGGTAAAGGCACAGGCTTCCACTAAGTCCGAAGTTGGTACATCTTTGCTGCAATCTCTACTGCTGACGACTCTCACAGGTTTTTGAACAAACCGACCGGAGCAAAGAATTATATTGTAAGGTGGTATTTCGATATGTTTTAAATAACTGCTTAAAACCAACCTTGTAATTGTAAAGACCCTGGTTCATCGTGTGCTTTGGAAGATGTGCTGGGAAGGTTTAAACTCTGCAAAGGATTAACAAGTGCGAAGTGGTTTGAGTGATCGTCGTATAGAACTTTGCCACATGACGTCACGTCCGCCATATTGGTGTACCAAACAAATGAAACGGCGGCCATGTTGGAATTTCAAACCAGTCCTGTGGGAATTGAACCTTTTTCTTCCGTAAAAAAATTCTTTTTTCCAATATATTCGTATAGCTACTCATCACGTGAGTGAAAACGCTCTAGAGGCTTTCGGCACAGACTAACCGTAAACTCAATCAATGCTGTGTGGAAACTCTGAACTACACGATTTAAAGTAGTCGCTAACAGCACTCCAAGAGTTGAATCATAATAAATTATTTTCAGTATAAATAGCAATCATATAACATTTTAAGACCTTACCAAAAGCGGGCCTACGCTGTAGAATGTCCCAGTGACCAAAAAGTTGACGTGCTCTTCATCATAACATATATATCCACTAACACGTGTGACTTGTGGTAACATTAACCCTAACCTTTTCTTCCACTTTGAACGACTTCCACGTAGGCTAAAGTGAATTATAAACACTGACTAAAAAATAAACGGCTTTGTGAATCCGCCCTCATTACCTCATCGACAGACAAACATTTCAACTTGGTCTCATCCTGTGTCACTGCAGAAAAGCCCGAACAACTGGCGACATTGCTACCCAAGGAGCCTCCAGGAGTAAAGATGGTCGACGTGGCTCGGTGGATATGAGGGGAGGAGTAATACTGCGGATAAACAGGACGATGGGGGTATTGACCGAAGGGTGACAGGCCGTGGCTAAATCCATGCGCTCTATGAGTAGGAGTTGCAAAACGGACTGTCGAGAAAAAAGGTACAAATTAAGATTACAAAAATAATATGGTGACACAGTGAACATCACTTTGCAAGCAAAGTTCTTGCAAATAATGTAAGTACTCGAATATGCTCCGGCAGATAACCACATTCTGGTGGCAGAGTTTGGGTTGTATTCCTTTAAAGAGCACTTGAACGATCGCGTTCTCAGAAAAGGTGGTCTGAGTGAGTCATCGCCAAAAAAGCTCGTTCACACTTTGCAGTCGTGGGTGATTAGGCTATCCTTTATATTATCTGACCTTGATGCTAAGACGTTACAACACGCATCGTTTGGACTCGTGCCCTTCTGTCCTGATTATGTTCTGCGCAAGGCAGGTATGATATGAGATCGTACTTAGGTAATTTAAAATTATTATTTACAACCGACCTTGTAAAGGACCTGGTTCATCATGTGCTTTAAAAGATGTGCTAGGAAGGTTGAACCTCTGCAAAGGATAAAATTGTACGATGTAGTATGAGTGTTCGTATGTAAGCTTCTGAGAACAGAGTAAGCGTACACTCACTGATGGGTGTCTACAGTGTTCGAATTTGTGATGAGCAATTCCGAAATTTCCCAAGTCTCTGTTTCAAAGCGAGGCTAAGTGCAAAGCCATTGATATGAAAACGATTCTTATTCTCATGCAAAAAAAAAAATCGCATTTGCACAAAAATAGTGTTTGCACTTAGCCTCGTTTTGGAAGTGAGAGCTTTTGGGACTCGGAAATGGCTTATTAGGGAATTTAAAATAGTCGCGCATAATAGTATATCTAAAGTGAAATAAAAATAAAATATTTTCATAAATGATCCTTCTAAACTCGTGAATATCCGAAGTGTATTCCACGAAGTTATTGCTGGGCAGGCGGTTAAGATATGCAAAAGAGTAAATCAGTCGTTGTAGACGATCTTCGGATCGGTCCGAAGTTACCCGATATGAAAACGGCATATAGTCGTTGTTGTCGAAGTGTACTTTGGGCAACTTCGGGCGTGCATTTACTCGCGCCCCCTAGTAAGGGACCTCCGGAAAGAGATTTTCACGCTCACGTTTCCTGCGGAAACATTAACACTAGCTTCTGATCTTATCAGTTCTGTAGGTAGCGTATTTACATTGTACGCTACAAGTATCTCGATCATAAATCGTCACTGCTGTGACGATTTAAATTTCCCGTAAAATGACACAGGAGGAGCGTTGCCGATAAATCGCGCTATTAACGTGTTTTTGTTTATTTTGAGTACCCCAACGTTCGCAGTGGTTCTAGCAGACTCTGCCGAGTAATGGACTACAGTCTAAAGTCGTCTTTAAAGGCATTTTGCGAAAATCCAGCTAATCTTGGCAAGGGATGGATATCATATTCGATAACCTTTAATTTTGAATACGCGGATCCGCGCCTTCTAAAACTTGTTTAGCGTGTATCTCTAATAGTTCTCGGTAATCCCGCTTATAACGAATCGCACCCGTCGTTATAAGCCAGTAATCTTGGAAATTTATCAAGGCGTTGAAATATACAACCTGCGTTACTGCAGTAACTTTCATCAATTGTTTTCTTATAAAAAATGTAGCGCAAAAGTCGGCGATACTTGTCTTCTTGTTGGTGTGTTTTTTAGCGTTTGTGGTTCATTAAGTAGATACTTACAACCGCGCCGTGCGAAAGCTGAACTGAGGTCAAAGATAGGGGAGCGGCGAGGGTACCAACGCGGAAACCTCGATTCAGCTTCCGCGCGACCGTATATATTAATTTACGAACTACAACTATAAAACAGCTCCCAAATTTTAGTATAACAATTAAAAGGAGGAACAAAAATATGGTAAAAACTAATTACAGAAGCGAATCTCGGAGTGGCTTATTTGTAGAAAATAAACTCGTGCACACGCGAAGAGTGTTTTGACAAGTACATGCACGGCAGCCGGAATTTTCTTCAGTATCTCATTTCAACGTAAAGTAAATATCTATTTTATCGCATCACTTCTCTATTTTCTAAACAAGGTATTAACGAGTTTCTCACAGTTTTTACTTTGATTGGCATTTGAAAGAGGCGCGAAGTAGTTGTTTAAGAAGAGGGTCTAAGCTTAATGAAATTATCATGTCCCAGAAACCAACGGGCAAACGAGCTCTTCTATCAACAACTTTGTTAGCGAGTCAGCGGCTCCATAAAGGCCTTCTCAGTGGTAAATAATTACTTCCACGTGACAGGCGATCGAAAGAGAAGGGAAAAGGGAAATTTCGGTTGGCGGACGAGAACACGAAGGGTATTGCGCGTCATTAGGGACCTTAAGCATCGACGAGGAAATGGGACGACGATGCCGACCGGAAGTGAAATTTTCCCACCCGAACCTTCTGGGCATGCGTAAGGTTGTCAAAACGTCGTACAGCCTTCGTCGACGACGTAATTCAGGGAGGTTTGCCCTCGTCGCTAAAACGTAAGTATAAAACTATACTTTTTGCGTGTAAATCACTCTTTTGCCCTCTTGTCATTCAGTACAAGTAGAAATATATTCTTTGTGGATCAGCAGAATCCAAATGTTAAACACTTTGTCGGTTTCTTCGCCTGCTAACTTGAATTTATTTTTCAGGTTCGGTTTGTTTGAAAACCTGAGTGATGGCGGAACAACAAGTCGGACAGACAAGTAAGCTTTCCTCTGCTATCTTCCGAACCTTTTAGATTAGCTGCTGTTCGTTCCCTTACGGTCCTATGTTTACTCATGCATTCTAGGTTGTACTATGGGATAAATGTTCATTTTTTTCGTACCAAGATTTAATAATTTCCCATGTTGTTTTTAGCCGGTAGTAAAGGCAACTATTTTCCAGTGGACTCTGGAACATGATGTGGCTATGAGGAGCCCTGAGAGAGGACAAGTGTGGGAGAACATTGTAGCAGCACTGAATTCTCTTCAGCAGCCGAAATTTAGCGTAACTGCAAGTCAAGAGCTGTTCGAGATCGGTATACAGGTTTAACTTCATTTCAAAACAAAAACAAAAGCTGCGCGACGAAGAGAAAGCCTCCATTAAACCATCTTCATACCTTATAAAATGCAAATTACGGACGTCTTTGAATGCCCTAACAAGACTGTAACAAGACAAAGTTCTTCGCAAAGAAAAAGTCGTCGTCTGTCCGGGAAGCTGCACTGTTAAAACTTCGTTTTCCCCACCGAAAACGAAACCCTTGGCCCAGTCTGTCCCGGTTGCGAAGCGTCGTCGTCGTCCGTTTCGTTGTCGATGCTTAAGGTCCCTATTTGCGCTTCTTGCGCACCCGAATTCCTCCTTTCCATTCCCCTTTGAACGACTTCTACGGACGTTAGGATGCATTCTAACCACTAGTTAATAACAATAATGGCTTTGTTAATCCGCCCTTATTACCTCATCAACAGATAAACGCTCCAACTTGGTCTCATTCTGTGTAACTGCAGAAAAGCCTGAACAACTGGCGAGATAACGATTGCTACTCAATGGCCCTCCAGGTGTAACGATGGTGGACGTAGCTCGATGGATATGAGGGGAGGAGTAATACTGTGTATAAACAGGTAGACGGGGGTATTGACTGAAGGATGCCAGATGACGCGCTTCACGAATAGGAGCTTCTTCTGTAGAGCACAAAACAAGTAGCCAGTTAGGATCCCCTCAAGTAACATGATGACAAGAGACAAGAGTGTTTTCAGATTGGCTTATCAGGTATAGTCATTAAGTACAACTGTATTTGTTCTTTACCGGTAGCGAAGATTTGTGGAATAAAGATGGGATTCCTTAGAACTGAGGCGCAAAGTCTAAGCCTGGCCCAAATGCACAGGACTTTATTTGGGTATTGTGAAGTGGACGCCTCCAAAATTTTTGACATTACAGGTCCACCACAAACTCATAGAAAACATGATTTTAAGCTAAGGCAGCAGACCTCTCGCATTAATTATTTTCATTTTTAAACGTTACGTCAGTGAATGGTCTAAATTATGTTATCTGTAATTCTAGCCTTAATTCTTTCAAAGTGTCCCTCCTAAGTTATTTTAGCTGCTCCTATGAGTGCTTACCATTTGTAAGGAAAATCTGGTAATTCTGGGGAGAATTCAAATGGAAAGGTTTATTCCGGTGGAATGTTGTCGGAAAAAAAAGTAATACCCGGCGGTATATTTTCCCTACTTTACTGGAATGACCCGGAAATCTTTTGTACCATTTGTTTGGATTACCAGTGCTAGTACTCGAGAGAGGAAAGCAAACAATGTACCGGTATTTTGTAAATGATACAACTCAATTCCATTCCTTTTTTAAATGCGAAAAAAAAAATACAAGGGCCATTTGCACAAAACTTTTCACCGACATTTCCGTACAAATGGCAAGCGGTCTATAATTCTACCTTTTACCTTTTAAGATTTTACATTATCGTATGGACGGTACGGAATCATTGAACTCAAAATTAATGTTTATATTACTTTGCTTTAACAAACGATAATGCACAATCAGTCGAGCCACAATGCTCACTTAAATACACATGGGAAATGCGCATTTAAGGAAGTAAAGATTAAAGAACAGGAGGTGGATGGCGCGGGCATTGTAAGTAACTTTTCCTTTCAGCCTTCTTCCATGTTTCAACTATAAACTTGCTTCTCAATTCAATTTGTGTTTATAATGCCTCGTCCAATAAATAATAAAGTTAAGGCTGCGCGGAGTTCTACTTTGGTCTATAAACAGACTGAAGGATAAATAAAATCCAAGTAAAATATATATAAATGAGTAAATACATGTCCAATTTTTTTTTACCGCGATTATGATTATGGAGAGAATGATTTTGACAAACTTTTCACGAAGTGTAACACCGGATTTAGTCAAAGCAATTATTTGTTCAGATATGAAAAGTTGTCGTTAACACTCACTCAACACTGAATTTGTAGAATTGTAGAATTACAAGTAAATGGAAACCTTACCCGCAGGATAGAGAGGGACTGGAACTGGTGCCACGGTTTTTCGATCGTCACCAGTTGATGGCGAGTAGTGAGTACTGGGGCGAGTCTGAATATGCAAGGTATAAAGAGAAGAAGAGGCGATGAGCTCATGATATAATGGAGCCAAAGAACGTTTATGTTAGTTGAGAAAAAGAGACTACAGATAGAATATCAGCTCTCTGAACCAGTAAAACTTGTACCTTTTTCTGATCGGTCACATTTTCGAAAAAATGCAAGGCGGCGCTCTGTGTTTTTGTTGTTTTTTGGCGTATCTCGCACATTGTATTTACATAAACTGCATAACAAGCCCTCGTAGAAATAATCACATCATCAAATTCTCCTATTGTAAAGGAAATCGTTTTGAACTAAACAAATTAAAAAAATAAAATCGGTTCCAACACTATTTGAAAAAACCTAATAATCTTCCGGAAAACGAATTAACTTCTCATTAGAATTTCAGATCGTTCGAAGGTGGTCACGGTATTTCAAGCCATTGATGTTTTGACAATGATCCTGGCAACTAAAGCAATCTGAATAATCAGAAAACGTTTTACTACGACTGAAATATTAGGAGAAAGCAAAAACCAAAGAAAGCACTTGTTGATGTAAGGATTCAACTCACCATTGTTTCAGGCGTAATTGTACCAATTATAGCAACCATTTTATTCATTTTATTGTATTCCATTCATTCATTCATTCATTCATTCATTATTTGACAAGAGCAATAAATAACCGTAAAAAGTGTGAACTATAGGTAGACCTGGTAAGATACTCTTCACAGTCTAGTACAATAATTCAGTGTTCACCTTTTGATTATAAATGCCTTTGTCTTGAAAGTCAACTCACAATGATGAAATAAGGAATTTAAGAAAAGCTAACAGAATATTACTGGTTAACCTCTTGTGAAAATGACCAAATACTCAAGCTTCTGTAACGCTTTGAGTTCAACGCAATATTGACTCCCGATGTGTTCAACTAGTTTTGCTGTCTTGCTCTCGGCGCTGCCACACTGTAGAATTTTTTCTAAGTCCACCGCAACACGTAAATGATTAACATGCGTATTAGATAGTTTACAATTTAGAAAAAAAATTTTTAAGAACAAAAAACCGCGTTGAAACCGTGAAACCAAAGTTCTCAATGGACACACTAAACGACAACGTCCGCAACGCGAAAAGCTGCCAGTGAAAGCGCGTCATTCTGCAATTCGCCGCCAAAAGAAATTTAACGCGGGAGTATTTCTCAGCCGCTGACAGGGGAGATGTTGATATTATTAAAGGACATAAAAATTTGATAGCTTTGATCAGTTTGTTTCTCATTCAAAAGTAGTGCATTCAGAAGGTCATTTTTCTGAAGAAGGTTTGTTTGGGAGTCGGTTTTCCAAGTCAAGTTTTAAGTTCACGGGAAAGTGGAAAGTGCGAGTGCCGAGTCACGCATCAGTGAGCAAATATCATGCAAAGAAAAATTATGCAAATTTGTGGTTCATCTTGTTACAAGTAACCAAAGGTTTTAGGTTTCAAAAGAACAAAAATGTTCGTTTTATTTCTGGCAACTTTTCATCTGAAAGATTTTCGTGAAAAGTGAAAACAATACGATGTGGTCTATATATTTTAATCAACAAACACCTACAGTATCGGTGTTTAGAACTTACCGTATTGAAACGCACGTGACCAATATTTGCTAAAACCATAATAAATTTCTCACTAGAGTTCAGGATCAAAACCTTTTGTTTACGTTCCTCACAAATGATTATGAAGAAAATTTAGACAAATAGCTTTCTCTGAATCAGTAAGAATTAATCACGGACAACATTTACCTCCAAAGTTTTTTTCAATATCTGCATTTACTTTATGCGCGGATCTCAAGATGTCTCGTCTGACATGTAATGCGATACTTCGTCTTGTTTTCGGTCGGCAGGAATTTATTAGGAATTTAAAATATTTTGTCTTACAGTACTTCTGTAATTCTAATTCTCCGAAAAATCTCCACTTGCCCGGCAGTTAAGAACAGAATTCACTTGCCCAATCGCAAAATCCACTAGCCCCGGGCTGTCGGACACGACTTTCTTTCCACGCTGGTCAAGTGTATATTTGATAAAGAAAGGAGGAATGTTTTAAGTCTTTTGTCTTTTGCGGAAAAGTAAGCTCATATTCGATAACTTATATTTTGAATACGTAAATCAGTGTGTATCTCGAATAGTTCTCAGTAATTTCGCTTAAAACGAATTGCACTCGGTGTTATAGTCGATAATCTTCGAAATTTATCAAGGCGTTGAAATATACAACCTGTGTTACTGCAGTATCTTCCATCAGTTGTTTTCGTTACAAAAAAACTAGTGCAAAAGTCGGAAACTTCACTTCTTGTTGGTGTGTTTTTTTTTAGCGTTTGTGGTTCATTAAGTAGGTACTTACAGCCGCGCGAAAGCAGAACTGAGGTCAAAGATAGAGGAGGGGCGTGGGTACCAAGGTAGAAACCTCAGTTCAGCTTTCGCGCGGCTGTATATTTTAATTAACGAACTACAAACGAAAAAATAATAATTATAAAAAGGAGTAACTAAAATATGGTAGTTACTGATTACCGAAGCTAAATCTCGGAGTGTCGTATTTGCAGAAAATGAACTCGTGAATACGCGAAGCGTGTTCTGTAAAGCACATGCACGGCGGGCGCATGTTTTCTTGAGTGCATCATTTCACGTTAAATATCTATTTTATTGCATCACCTCTCTGTTTTCTAGACAAGGTATTAACAAGTTTCCCATAGTTTTTACTTTGATTGGCATTTGAAGGAAGCGCGATGTTTTTAATTAGTTTTTCAAAAAGACGGCCTCAGCTCAATCATGTCTCAGAGACCAAAGAGTTGACGAACTTTTCTATCAACAAATATGTCGAGAGTTGACGACTAATCAATTAAGTCATTCGCAGAATTAATGAATGACGCCAGCGTGGCAGGCGATTGAGGGGGAAGACAAACGGGAAATTTATGTGGGCGAGAACACGGGCGGCACGGCGCGCAATTTTATTTGCCCTTTTCGAACTCCTGAATTCCCCCTTTCCATTCCCCATCGACTTCTACCCACGTTAAGATATATTCTAGCCACTAATTAAAAACAATAATAGCTTTTTTAATCCGCCCTCATTACCTCATCAACAGACAAACGCTCCACCTTGGTCTCACCCTGAGTAACTGCAGAAAAGCCTGAACAACTGGCGAGATAACGATTGTGACTCAATGACCCTCCAGGTGTAGGTGTAACGATGGTGGACGTAGCTCGATGGATATGAGGGGAGGAGTAATACTGTGTATAAACAGGAAGACGGTGGTATTGACTGAAGGATGCCAGACGACGCGCTTTACGAATTGGAGCTTCTTCTGTTGAGGAAAAAAAAGTAGCCAGTTAGGATCCCCTCAAATAACATGATGACACAGCAAAACAAGAGTGTTTTCAGACTGGCTTATCAGTTATAGTCATTAAGTACATTTATTTCCGATCTTTACCAGTCCAGTAGCGAAGATTAGTGGAGTAAAGATGGGATTCCTTAGAACTGAGGTGAAAGTCCAAGCCTGGTCCAAATGCACAGAACTTTATTTAGGTATTTTGAAGTGGATGCCTCCAAATGTTTTGACATTACAGGTCCACTCGTAAGAACCATGATTTTAAGCTAAGGCCGCAGACCTCTCGCAATAAATTATTTTCATTTTTAAACGTTACGTCAGTGAATGAAATACTCTTCCGTCTAAAGTTATCTGTAAATCTAGCCTCAATTCTTTCAAGTGTCCCTACTAAGTTATTTGAGCTGCTACCAAGAGCGCTTACCATTTGTGATACCTGCCCCGGTTTTTTTTTCGCACTTTACTGGAACGACCGAAATTTTTTGCACCACTTGTCTGGATTACCAGTGCCAGGCTTTCACTAGAGAAATTAACCGGTACTTTGTAAATGATACAACTCAATCCCATTCCTGCTTTCAATGCGAAAAAAGTACCAGTACCATTTGACACCAAAATTTTCACCGAATTTTCCGTACAAATGGTAAGCGCTCTATACCTGTATATTTTACCTTTTTAGATTTTAAACATTGTATGGATGGTAAGAATCATTTAACTTAAACTTTAAATTAATGTTTTTATGTCTTTGCTTTATCAAACAATAATGAACAATCAGTCGAACCACAATACTCACTTAAATAAATGCGCATTTAAGAAAGTAATGATTTCAGAACAGGAGGTGGAAGATGCGGGCATTGCAAGTAACTTTTCCTTTCAGACTTCCTCGCTGTTTCAACTATAAACTTGCTTTTCAATTCTATTTGTGGTTATAATGCCTGGTCCAATAAATAATAGTGTTATACTACGGGGAGTCCTATTTTTGTCTATAAACAGACTGGGGGATAAATATAATCAAAGTAAAAAAATATATAAATGAGTAAATGTAAGTCCATTTTTTTTACCGCGATTATGATTATGAAGAGAATTATCTTGAAAAACTTGCCACAAAGTGTAACACCGGCTTAAGTCAAAGGAATTATTTGCTCAGATGTGAAAAATTGTTAAACTCACCAAACACTGAATTTGTAGAATTGTGGAATTACATGTAAATAGAAACTTACCAGCAGGATAGAGAGAGACTGGAACTGGTGCCACGGTTTTTCGATTGTCACCAGTTGAGGGTGAGTAGTGAGCACTGGGTCGAGTCTCTGCCAGAATCTGCAAGGGATAAAGAGAACAAAAGGCGATGTGCTCATGAGATAATTAAGCGATAGTTGAGAAAACGAGACTACAAAGATAGAATATCAGCTCCCTGGGGAAATGAAATTTGTAACCCTCAGTCACATTGGCGAAAAAATTGAACGCTGCGCTGTATGACGTGTGTATCTGTGTTATGGTTCTTTTTTTTTTGGCGTGGCTCGCACATTGCATTTACATTAATTGCATAACAAACCTCCGTTGAAAGAACCACATCAAAAAATTTTCCCAATCTAAAGAAAGTGGTTTTTATCCAAACAAAATCAAATAGCGGCACGTTTCCGACAAAATTTCAAAAAGTCCTATAATGTTCGCGAGAAGGAATTAACTTTGAAATACAATTTTACATCTTTACAAGAAGGTTCAATTCAATTCAATTCAATTTATTATTCACACTTTATAAAATATTTACATTATATATAGTATGTTAGGAATACACTAATAAAGGAGAAGAAGATGGAAAAAAAAAAAAAAGAAAATTAATGGCTTGGGTAGAAGTGTACGGTGGTCAGAGGAACTTAGCTTTCGAGCTAACCACCGAACGTCGGTTACGTTTTGACCATGATTTCGGCTACTAAAAGCCATCTTAACTAGAAAAAACATTTTAGGACGACTGAAATATTAAGAAGAGAGTAATAAACAAAGAAATCACTTGTTAGACTATTATAAGAAATTCGAATCGATTGTTTCTACACAAGACTGTTCAGGGGTCATTGAGCCAATTAAATGAGGAGAAACAAGGAAAACCACGACCACGAGATACAAAAACGCAGACCAGAACATAACAACCATTATAAGAAACACACCCTTTACCTCCCGAGATTCGCCTAATGACAAACGATAGTAAAACCCCTTTAAAACCCCCAAAAGTAGCAATTTTTTGTTCATCTTACTATAATCCGTTACAATAGACCTTTTTACCGACACGGCGGCCGTATTGAATTTATTAGATTTTCGGAGTATTATCTATGGGAGGCCTACAGAACATGACCACGATCCGATATACTCGCTCAGTATTTACGCGCGCTTTTCGGGACAATTTTTCTTTAAGAAAAAGATTGTAATGGGAAAAAAAGATCGTCCTGTCGTGTTTGGATGTAATAATGATCGCCTTATTCCCGAGAAATACACCCTGAAGTTTTCTTTTTGCCCGGAAAGCGCGCTAAATACTGAGCGAATACCCCCTGGGCATCCCATAATACTCCTTAAATCTAATAAATTCAATATGGCCGCCGAATCGGTAAAAAGGTCTGTTAAATTCAACAGAATAAATTACATAGGTAGGTTGAATGTGATCGTCCGGGTGAACGTAATCCTGAATAGGATAACATCAAAGCTTAACTGACAGACGACCAATAACGTAGCGACTTAATTGACCAATCAGGTCAATAACCAGAGTTTAATACCATCAACTGATATGATACAACTCACTTAGACTCTGAAGATGACTACCGCACGGGCTGTCGAAACGTCAGTGACTGTCAACAACAACAGTCCTATTCAGGACTACGTTCACCCGGACGATCATACTCAACCTACTGATGAAATGAATGTTGAGTTCAAACCTTTCACAGAATAAATTACAAAAAATTATACATTTCTTTCTGTAACAAAAGTTGACCACCCACCTGCTGCTGTTGTTTGTTCTGTATTTCAGTTGATAATTCAGGGATACTGACGCGCGGATAGGATTTTTTCCAATAATCCTCTGATGGCCATTGATGTTCAGGTTTAGGATTCCCTTCATCGTCCTGTTACGAATCACAAAGTAACAGTAAACAGTTGAACTACTTTCAGTTAAAACACCGTGCGAACTATGAGGAAAAAAATACAAAAAAGCCGAAAAAGCAGTAATACGGAAAAAAGAGTATAACTGAAAGCTAACCGCTGTTAATGAGTGTTTTAACCCTAATCCGTAAAATGAGCGCCTAACCCTACTCAGTAAAATGAGCTCTTAACCCTAATCAGAAAAAGTCGACCAAGACTGCGTAATTCTGCAAGTATTTCAACAGCAAAACCCCACATACCATTTGGGAAACCAAGTAGGAAACCCTTTTTGATGTATTTGCAGTTTCCCGTGGCTCAGATGGCTCGCTGGCTCTCAGATTGTCAAGCCTTATTACTTTCTTAAAGTAACGTTTTATCTTGTACATGTAAGTGATACACCATCGGACGGTAGAAACAACGAGCACTCAAAAGTTAACAAAAACAGGTTTACTGCATACAACCTAAAATAAAACCTTTGTACCGGCTCCATCATCAATCAAGATAGGAGTAAATTTCTAAAAGGCACAAAGTACGCAGAGACAGCTTCAGTATAATTACGTTTATGACTTTCACTAAAAGTTTCATAGCCATGTCTCTCCATATGCGCAAAGTATGCCATTGAGAGAGGGCATGTATTTTAAAGCAAATCGTGCAAATCGTTGTTTGTCACTTGTGGAAGGACAAGCGTATATTAATCAATTCGAGGGAATGAATTTAAAATGATACTTTCAACTTACCTAGTTTGAGAATTGTTTTCAAATGAGCCACCCTCGTGTTTCATAGAGTATAAAAATTACAAAGAAAGGAAAAATGACGGAAGGTAAGCGCTAAGCACTGTGGATAAAGAATAAGAAACAAATTGTGATCAAACTTACGTGGTAGGAAGACTCCAGCCGAGTTATGCTATTCTGCTTCACTGCTGTAGACAACTCGTGTACTTGCTGTTGTGTCATCTTAACATCATACAGCAGAAGTTCCCCAAGGCGAGGAGCGCAGCTGAGATAAGAAGCTAAGCTACTGACTCCTGCACCCAGTAATGGATTCTCGGACATGTCTAGCGACACCAGGTTCAGACATTCTTGAAACAATGAGAAGATGAACGAAGCAGTAGTGGCTGGTGTTAGGTTGATAGCATCGAGTGCTAGTCTCTCCAGTTTGCGTGTAAGTGGAATTTTTCGCAGCAGAGATTGCGTCACCTCTGCATCGTACACTTCACCGGGTTCACCCCAGACCCCTATAATTTGTGGAGCGGTGACAAACGGCATCAACTCACTCAGCTGTTCCACTTCTGAACCGTCCACTCCAAGGGTTTCAATCTTCCTCACCCTCGACAGAGCATGATACTTTGAAGAACAGTTGCTGTCTTCAGTTGACTCTTCAGGATTTATGTTCAACTTCTTTGTTGACTCTAAGCGTATTAGCGCCTTAATCACATCACGGGCAAGAAAAGGAATGCCATCGCATTCAGCTTTTACAAGTTTAGCAAAGTAAAGGTGGGTTATGTTTTCTTTCTTTAAGAAAAATTCGTCAGTACGACGCCATGGCGAGTTGCTTAAAAATTCGGACGCTTTCTTTTCTCCTGAACAGGTAACAACAACAGCGTTTAATTGTTCAGATAAAATTACTAAGTTTTTATAGTCCTGCTCTTCATAATTGCAATTGGCGAAAAAAACGTAACGAGGGACCTCACTGGCTTTGACTAACTCTTCGTTTACAATAGCATTTAGCTGGTCTGGATTAATTAAAAGAACTCCTCCTAAAGAGGAAAGAAATGTAGGAAAGAGATCCCTTCTTGCCTCAGCTGGGCGGTAGAAAAGTAACTGTGTACAGAGCGTCAGAAAATTTTTTTGCTCCTGTGATAAATCCTCCTCTGACGGTGTTTCTTTGTCGAACCCGTACTCTGTCAGTCCGTTCTGTGGCGCCATTCCCATCAGATAACTCATGATCTTACGCGCGGCTTCTTCTGACAACTCACTGGCAAATTTTAACACTTCCGTCATCTTCAATATCTTTTCAACCGAGTTTAACTTTGACAGGAAAGGTGTACTTTCAAACTCTTGAGAAACCAGTTCTTCTTTCAGGGACTTGGCAGCGAGGTACTCTTGTACTGATTTGTGAATAAAGTACACGCCCCTTTCAGGTTTTAAACCTGCCAAGTTTAAAACTTGAAAAAGGCCGACTTCACTTAATCTCTCGATCAAATCGTAG